ATTGCTTCTTGTTCTATACTCAGAGGCCAGGAAGAACAAGTTTTCTCCTTCCTCCTTGTCACACACTTTTACATACCTGAAAACCAATATCATGTCTCCTCTCAGTCTTCTCTTTTCCAAACTAAACAAGCCCAATTCTTTCAGTCTTCCTTCATAGGTCATGTTCTCTAGACCTTTAATCATTCTTTTTTCTCTTCTCTGGACCCTCTCCAATTTCTCCACATCTTTCTTGAAATGTGGTGCCCAGAACTGGACACAATTTTCCAACTGAGGTCTAATCAGTGCAGAGTAGAGCAGAAGAATAACTTCTCGTGTCTTGCTCACAACACACCTGGTAATGCATCTTAGAATCATGTTTGCTTTTTTTGCAACAGCATCACACTGCTGACTCATATTCAGCTTGTGGTCCACTATAACCACTAGATCCCTTTCTGCCATACTCCTTCCTAGACAGTCGCTTCCCACTCTGCATGTGTGAAACTGATTGTTCCTTTCTACGTGGAGCACTTTGCATTTGTCCTTATTAAACTTCATCAGTTCGAATTAAGTGGCTACACAGCCCTTAATTCGAACTACTTAATTCGAACTAGGCATTAGTCCTCGTAGAATGAGGTTTACTTAGTTCGAATTAAGTGCTCCGCTAGTTCAAATTAAGTTCAAACTAGCGATTTGCCTGTGTAGCGCCTATCAAAGTTAATTCGAACTAACGACTGATAGTTCGAATTAACTTTGTAGTGTAGACAGAATGGTTATCCAGCCAGTTATGTACCCTCCTTATGGTAGCCCCAGCTAAATTGTATCTGGCTAGTTTATTGATTAGAATATAATGTGAGATCGTATCAAATGCCTTACTAAAGTGTAGGTATACCATGTCCACCACTTCTCCCTTATCCACAAGACTCGTTATCATATCAAAGAAAGCTATGAGATTGCTTTGACATGATTTGTTCTTTACAAATCAATGCTGGCTGTTCCCTATCACCTTATTATCCTCCAGGTATTTGCAGATGATTTCCTTAATTACTTGCTCCATTATCTTTCCTGGCACAGAAGTTAAACTGACTGGTCTGTAGTTTCCTGGGTTGTTCTTATTTCCCTTTTTATAGATGGGCACTATATTTGCCCTTTTCCAGTCTTCTGGAATCTCTCCAGTCTTCCATGATTTTTCAAAGATGATAGCTAAAGGCTCAGATAGCTCCTCTATCAACTCCTTGAGTATTCTAGGATGCATTTCATCAGGCCTTGGTGATTTGCAGACATCTAACTTTTCTAAATAATTTTTAACTTGCTCCTTTTTTATTTTATCTTCCAAACCTTCCCCATTTCCACTAGTATTTACTGTGTTAGGCATTCCTTCATCATCAGACTTCTTGGTGAAGACCAAAACAAAGAAGTGGTCTCCACTGCCGTTTCCAAGTTTCCTGTTATTTTTTTCTCTCTCTTAACTGAGCAATGGGCCTGCCCTGTCCTTGGTCTTCCTCTTGCTTCTAATATATTTATAAAATTTCTTCTTATTACTTTTTATGTCTCTAATATTATAAGCCATTGACCCATAAAAAAATCAGTCATGGGCCACTCACCTGCGCTGGGGGGGAGGAATGCTGTGGAGGCTTCGAGCTTCAAACGTTACAGAGGAAACAGACACCAAAAAAAAAAAAATCCTATACATATGCAGGAAGGACTGTATCCCCCTCGGACCAAAGATCCTGTCTGGGTCAGAAAACAGGTCCATAGTTACTTTAAACTCAGGCTGCTTATTTCAAAATCCTTTCTGTTGTTTAATGATCTCTACTTATCCGTACCGGTGAACCTGTGCATGGAGCCTCTCCAGGTGGGTGCAGGCTCTCCTCCTTGGGCGGGGGAGGGGCAAAGGGAGAAGAAAAAGGGGGCAACTACACCAGGGCCCAGCTTCCCATGGGAACTTACCTACCAGCTCTCTGAGTTTACCAATATCTACCTTCCTGAAATCCATTGTCTCTATTTTGCTGTTCTCCCTTCTACCATTCCTTAGAACCATGGACTCTATGAATTCATGATCACTTTCACCCAAAGCTGTCTTCCACTTTCAAATTCTCAGCCAGTTCCTCCCTATTTGTTAAAATCAAGTCTAGAATAGCTTCCCCCCAGTAGCTTTTTCAGCCTTCTGGAATAAAAAGTTGTCTTCAATGCAGTCCAAGAACTTATTGGCCCACTGTGTTAGTTTCCCAACATATATCTGCATAGTTGAAGTCCCCCATCACCACCAAATCCTGCATTTTGGATGATTTTGTTAGTTGTTTAAAAAAAGCCTCATCCACCTCTTCTGCCTGGGTAGGTGGCCTGTAGTAGACCCTTAGCATGACATCACCCTTGTTTTTACCCCTTTTAGCCAAACCCAAAGACTCTCAACTCATCTGTCTCCTACGTCCATCTCAACCTCAGTCCAAGTGTGTACATTTTTAATATATAAGGCAACACCTCCTCCCTTTTTTCCCCCGCCTGTCCTTCCTGAGTAAGCTGTACCCTTCTATACTGATATTCCATCATGCGTATTATCCCACCAAATCTTTGTGATGCCAACGATGTCATAGTTGTATTCGTTTATTAGCACTTCCAGTTCTTCCTGTTTATTACCCATTTGTCTTGAATTTGTAAATAGGCATCTAAGATACTGATTTGATCTTGCCTCCCAATTCTGCCTTGTCCCTCCTTTCTCTCTGCTATTATAGTCCACACTCCCTCCCATTTCCGACCAAGTCCCCATGTTTCCCATTTCCCCACTCTCAATGTTCTTTACTTACGCGTGGGCTTTGGTCACCTGTCCCAGTCGAACCTAGTTTAAAGCCCTCCTCACTAGGTTAGCCATTCTGTATCCAAATACAGTCTTCCCCTTCCTTGTA